CCCGGGGGGGAAGGGGAGAGGGCTCCGTGCGGTGCTCCAGGCACCGCCCCAGCAGCTCCCATTGGCCGGGAACGGGGAACCACGGCCAATGGGAGCTTCGAGGAAGGTACCTGGAGGCGCGGCAAGGGCAGCGCACAGAGCCCTGTGGGCCCCCCCCTCCCCAGGGGCCACGCAGGGACATGGTGAGCAACGTGGCGTGGGGCCAGGGCAGGCAGCCAGGGAGCGCGCTGCTGCAGGTAAGCAGCGCCGGGCCAGAGCCCGAACCCCTCCTGCACCCCTCCCCCACAACTCCCTGCCCTGAGCCCCTTGCCTGCACCTCGCACCCCAATCCCCTGCCCTGAGCCCCCTGCCTGCACCTCGCACCCCTCCTGCACCCCAACCTCCTGCCCTGAGCCCCCTGCCTGTATCTCGCACCCCAACCCCCTGCCCTGAGCCCCTGCTGCACCCTGCACTCCTCCTGTACCCCAACCCCCTGCCCTAAGCCCTCTGCCTGCACCTCGCACCCCAACTCCCTGCCCTGCACCCCTCCTGCACCCCAACCCCCTTCCCTGAGCCCCCTCCCACACCCCGCACCCCAAACTTTATGATGTTCGCCTTTAAAAAATAAAATAAAATTCCCTGGGTGCACACCCTAATGAAATGTGCTGCGCACGCCTATGACTTGGAGCAACTGGTTCTATGGTAGAAGGCTGCAGGTTGCAACTCTATGCTTTCATGCTTTGAGAGCATGTGTATGTCAAGTTACAGTGCAGCCTGCATCTTGCCACTGAAATTGAAAGAACTTTGCTTAATAGATGCGTATTTGTGTTGCATGAGATTCAGAGTGCACTTCCCTGGTACTGTGGAGAACAAGAATGCATCAGAGAGAGCTGTAGCAGCTCTCATCACCTAGTTTTGTGGAATGTAAGAGCAAAACCATAGAACATAAGGACATAATTTCGCAAGAGCCAGTATATGTATTGAACGGTAAAACAAATGTAGGTGATTTGTCTTTGTTCTGCTCAGCTTGTATGTTAGCATCCTCTGACATTGGCGATTTGTCTTGGTTCCTTTAAATTCCTAAGTGGATTATAATTTTTCTCATGGTATTAGTTGACAACAGTCATTTTTCATGGCTTTACTGCATTCCTCAGATATTTAGAATTTTTTAAGGGAAGGAGTTCAGTAAGAGGCAGCCATCTCCAGGGCATGTAGTGTAATGCAAACTCTGCAGATGAAATAGCTCAGGAATGTATTCTGTAAACTTTGATGTAGTTGCTATGCTTAAAAAAAACACAGGATTTGACCCACTGTGGTTTACAGTATTTAAAGCATATAATTATGTACATGTCAAATGTAAATCCTTTAAATACTGTGGCATGGGCAAATTCCTCAGTACTAATGTACTTCAATAACTCTGGAATATGCAGCCTGAAATAATAGTGAAGTTTGCTTATAATGAGGATGTTCTTTATCTTTTCAAACACTAAAGGGCTCAGAAGATATGGCCATGTAACTTAACCTCATCGCTTTCATATATACACACTTTTCATGGAGACTGCCCATTTAACAAATTTGTCTTGTGCCTAATATTGTGTTGTCATTTATAAGCGTGTAGAAATATGCCTTATCTAATTAGATTAGTAATGATCCTATTTCATATATGAATTACAGCAGCATAAGCAGAAAATAGTCACACACGCAATGTCAAAATAAACATGTATGTCCTAAGAATATTCTCAGGTGATGTCACACCATCTGTCCCACTATATCCTGTCAGAATTTTTGCTGCAGCAGCATCTGGTACTTTGGCAAGATCTGCAGGCAACTGTAGTAACTTTACAGCTGCCTTTAACTTTGCTTTTATATTTAAGCAGCATAAAGGCTCTGTGATCCTCTCTGTATTCCTATATACATAACGTCTCTTTGATTGCAGTTTGGAGTCTGAGCACTTTACTACATTATTTTCCAGACGGTAAAATAGTATAATGTCTGAAGAAATGTTTTACCAGATTATTTTGCAAGACAATAATGTTGGGATTCCTTCCAAGACCTCTTCCACTTGGCTTATCCAGAATACCTCACCCAGTTCTGGGAGAACTCTTTATCCCATTCTCAGGATCCCAAACAACTCAATTTGATTCCTGCTCAGCACTCAGGTTACTTTATTAGGCATGTGACAGCTCTATGCCCTCGTGGATAAGGCCACCCAGATGCAGGGGTTTAGGTACTGGGTGATACCAATTCCAGTTCCAGTTCAAGCATGTCACATGTTAGACAGTTTATATACATTTTCCCCAGCCATAACATCTATACTTGTTGAATCTAATTGGGTTGGACATTGTGCAGATCATGTAAGGACCAATCACTTTGGAGATTGTGTAAGGACCAATTGCTTATTTCCTCCCTTTATCTGCATTTCAAGTTAATCAGTTCAGGGTGTTCCCACTTATCTCAACTAGCCCTGGAAACACTGTCTCGGGCACACAGCCTGTCAAATCATTGTTTACAGTTGAACCTTGCACTCAAATTTTACTCATGTCCAGCAAGATCTATGCCTACAGTTACGTGCCCCAAATTCTCATGTGTTATCTTCATACAGTTGTGAATTTATCTCAAATTATAGTCACCACCTAAAATCTAGTGTTCTTGCTTGCTTGCTTTCCCTGGTCACCAGACATTTAAGAGGTAAACCTAGAACAGCAGTGGTGCCCAACAATATTATATATTAATTTTTGTATGTGCTTGGCACGCCAAGATAATACAATGATGTGTATCTGGATATAGATCACATGTAAGTGAAGTAGTGTATGTGTATTTTGTGTGTATAGCAAGGATGTTTCATCTGCAGTTATTCAATTATCAAGTAAAATGACAAATCTAGCAACTCTGCAGATATTGTTATGATAATCCCTCATTGTAACTGAATAGTATGATAATTACTGTAATTCTTGTGTAAATGATTGGTATGTGACTTAAACCTGCTCATGCCTTGCTGATAAACTTTCATTCATGCATTCATTCATTCATGCACTCGGTCCCTTCCATTCACTTGTTTATTTTTCTGACCTACGTGCTTGGCTCTTTAGAGTAGAAACACCCTATTTTGACTATGATGCCCCTTTGGGGTTTGTTGCATCTATAAGCAAAGATTGGGAAAGTTTTCTGTGTGCACACCGAGGAAATACGGTGGGGGCTATTTTGAAAGAGAATGCTCCAAGGTAAATCTGTGTAACTGATGTTCACATCTTACGAATTGAGCTTAGGTTTATTAAAGCCTGAAGTGTTAAGCTCTTTTCCCCCCACTAAATAAAATACGTCAGGAGGAGACTGGAATGTATCCGATTATATATGCCCATTATAACAAATAAGTGTATTCTAAATTCAGATTTCATTGCTCTAGATGATTTTACTAGTTTTATCGGTTTACTTGTCCAAGTACAGTTGGTAAAAATATAGTCAGTCTACTTTCTTTTCCTCTGGGTTTTGCACATTTGTTAGGGAAAGTTGTATTCAGTTATTATTATTTATTTTTATCCCAAGCCCCAGGCATGGACCAGGACCCCATTGTGCTAGGTGCTGTACAAACACAGAAGAAAAAGACAGACCCTGCTCCCAGGGGCTTACGGTCAAAGTGTAAGACAAGTGACAAGAGATGGAAACAGGGGAATACAAAGAAACTGTGAGATAATATGGGTTAGCATGATAGGCCAGCTGAATGGTTGGATGTTCAGTTTATTTAGGTATGACAGTGTTATTTTAATCTGTTTTGTCTGCAGATATATTGTGAACAAAATAGCCAGGCAGATGTTGAAAACGCAGAGTTGACATTATTTTATGCTTACCGGTTAGAAATTGCTACCTTGTAGCCAGTAGCTATCCAATATTGCAAAGTTTTCGGCTGTTCAGTGACTGCACATTGGTTTCCCTTTAACTGAGTTAGCAAGATGTTGTTTGTGATCTATGTGGTTAAAAAACAACCATGCTCCTTTCATCTTTTCATGTGGTCTTGTGAGGTGTGGAGCTCTCCCCTGGGTGGGACTTAGCGGCATGCAGTATCAGGTCCTCTTCTTTTTCATTTCAGATTTTACAATGTGCTATAGTCTCAGACAAATATGCAGCGTGTAAACAATATGGGTAAAATCCTTACCCCATTGAAGTCAATAGAGGGTTTAACGATAGACTTCATTGGAGCCAGGATTTCACTCTGAGAAGGGAGAGGAATTGTTTTGGGTGGTACCGGTGGCTATAACTAATGATAGTGGAATGAAACTAGAAAGGGGGAAATTTAGGTTGAACATCAGGTTATACATTCTGGCAGCGAAACTGTGAAACTAGCTCCCACAGTAAGTGGTAGAAGCTTGGGTCATTTGAAAGTGGATTCAGCAAAGCATTGGGGAATATACCAAAGGGAAAAATCCTACACTGGCAGGGAGATGGACTAGCTGACCTATTAGTTCCTTCTTATTACTATAATTCTAGGAATTAAAGAAAAATCTCTTCCCTCTCCTTTAGGCAACTGACATTAGCACACTTTTTTTTTTTTTTTTTAAAGAAAGAAATGTTAGTAATGTAACGATTAAGGGAGCTGTTGCACTAGCAGAAACTAAAGATCTCTGTACATAAGACATTAAACTACATGGTGCAGACACCACCACTCTTTCTAATGACCTTGATCTTACTGTGCTCAGGATGGACTGATCATCACTTTGCTGGCTGTTCTGGTTTTTTAGGTAAACACCTGCCGGCAGTTAATCATGCTTAGCAGGTTTACAGTAGGGGAACTGGTTTTATGATATTGACTCTTGTTCACTAGGGACTGTGCCAAGACCACCAAAGTTACTTCATGGAAATCATGTTGCAAATAAACCGTGGTCCCAAAGGTAAATGAGGGCAAGATTTTCTAATCCACCAAAGCACCCTAATCTTAGCATGAACACACAGACATACTGTTCAGCTTAAATAAACCTCTGTTTTTCTTGTACAATAGTGATTTTTTTCTTTTTCTTATTTTCTTACAGTACAACAAACACCTCTTTGTGCACATTGGACATGCCAACCATTCTTACAGTGACCCGTTGCTTGAATCGGTGGACATTCGTCAGATTTATGACAAATTTCCTGAAAAGAAAGGTGGTTTAAAGGAACTGTTTGGGAAGGGCCCCCAAAATGCCTTCTTCCTAGTAAAATTCTGGGTGAGTAAGACATACCATAGAAGTTAATTTAGACTGTGTGTTCACGTTATGTGCTTCCCTACTCTTTCTAAATGTTCACGTACACAGGAATTTATTTTGTCATCACTTAATAACGTGAAGCTGAGTCTCCATCATTTGTGTATATCCTTCATGTGGGACACTAGCACAAAGCCACTTCTATTGCTGTTTCCCACAACATGTCTGTGTTCCTAGAAAACAACTGTAGTAATTGTAGTGCCTGCCAGCACTTTGTTATACATGATCCTTTGCCAGTGACAAACAGGTAATAAGTTTTGTTTAAACAGGTAATAAGTTTATAAATGGTGAACTGCCATCTAGTGGTTTGATTGGAGAGCAATATCAGCAACTTAAACAGAGACTTCTGTGTATATTTTTGAGTGTTTTGTATGTTGGACTCTGCTGAAGGCAAGTAATATAGTTTTTAGCCTTGAGATCAGCCAATGTTTTCACAACGCCGTTATATTTAAAATTAGTATTAAAAAAACTATTTAAGAGTTTGTGATATTTCCAGTGCTGTTGTATAATAGTTTGGGTTGCTTTAATTTCTGCTTCATTGTTGAAGCAGACGCGCCTTCAATTTCTCTAAGTACATTTGGGACATTGGCATGGAATTCTGTTTGCAGAGGAATTATACCTGCCCAAAGTAGCTGTGAGGAGTGGCTGAAGGAGGATTAGAATGAAGGAAAAATAAAAGCTAGATATCAGAAATGTTGAAAGATACCTAAAATATTGGTGTCACTTTAACCATGTGCATCGCTGTACATATACGGTTGGATTTCAATGGACACTTCAATCTATCACCCACTCTGTAAGACACACACATAAATGGCAGTAATCCCCCAAGCTTTTCTAAAAGATTTAACAGCAGACCATTGTAATATCTCATTTTAGCAAGACACCATTTGTTTTACTGTACCTACCATAGAACATTTACTAATACATAGAATCATAAGTGTAGGGCTGAAAGGGACCTCAAGAGGACATCTATTGCAGGCCCCTGCCCTGAGACAGTACCAGGTATATCTAGACTAGCCCTGTCCAACCTGTTCTTTAAAACCTCCAGTGATGGGGCTCCACAATCTCCGTGGTAACCTATTGCAGTACTTAATTACCCTTAGATGAAAAAGTTTTTCCTACTATCTATCCTAAATCTTCCGGGCTGCAGATTAAACCAATTACTTGTTCTTCTACTTCAGATCACTGTCCTCTTTGTAAAATCCTTTAACATATTTGAAGATTCTTTTCTCACTCTTCTTTTCTCAAGACTAAACATTATGAACTATTATAAGGGGGGGAAATCCTAAAAAATAATTGCCAACATGAATTCTAAAACTGCATTTTGTGATGTAAAACATTTGCTTTGTTTTGTTTGTGTGTGTTCCACTTCCCTGATAATTTGCCAAATTTAGTAATTCACAGTGGGACTCCCACTCATTCATTAGTGCCAATTAATGAGGTTCTACAGGAGCATAACGTGTTACCTTTCAATACTACTACTACTATGTTGAAAAGTATAAGTAAAGAAGATTGCTCCCATTTATTTCTTAGCAATAGTTTTAAAAAGGTGCATTAATCTGAAATCCTCATATCAAGATTTCCATATTACAGGAAATAAAAGGTTTGCTTTAGCTTTATATAATTTATGTTGAAGCTTTTGCCATCAGGAGGACGGGGGATTAGGGGCAGGGAGAAGTGTTCTGCTCTAGCATTCTCTTGATACCGAAACCAAACCATGTTTTAAGCCAGGAAAATACACCCTGAAAGTATAAACTTGGCATACATTCATTGTTGTGATCATTTGTGCTTGGTTAGCATCAAGAGCAAGTTAAGCATGTGCAGACAAGAGCCCTGCCACTAAGAGCTTACAGTCCTATAAAAATTGTATTGCCATGGTTATATTGTGGTTTGCATATGTAAATAACTATACTGTGAGGTCATCAAGTGGCTCTATCATGAGATCTGAACGTATGAAGTTTGTCCGTGAAGTTTGTCCATGAACAAATGTGGCTTGTGTGGTCTGTCATACTGAGCATTAGGCCCTCATTGGCCTGTTAGACATTTCCTGCTGCCTCACAGGTGCATGTTGCTCTAAGAATTAAAATTTAATGTTTTAAAAATAAGGTTTTCTACCACTAAAATTCTGGAAGCATTTGGAAAATCATCCGGTAGTGAGTTTCAGAAATTCTGTATCAAATTATTACACTCACAACAGGGTCTGAAAAGCTAGTGTAGTGTTTAATGTCAGTTTTTAAAAACATGTCCATAGATATAAATTAGGGCTGGTTGGTTTTCATTAACATTCCCGCTTAAAGCAGAGCCGGAGCTTCAAAAATGAACTTGCTAAGAACAGGCCGCCCAGAGGATTCAGAGGGCCTGGGGCAAAGCGGGGGAGCAGACATAAAAAAAGGCGCCACCCGCTGCGGCGCTTGTACTCACCGGGCGGTGCTCCGAGTCTGCAGCGGCAGCGGGTCCTGCACTCGCTCCGCATCTTTGGCAGCACTGAAGGACCCGCCGCCAAAGACCCAGAGCAACTGAAGGGCCCGCCGCCGAAGTGTCACCGAAGACCCGGACCGCCGCCGGGTGAGTAGCCAGGGAAGGGATTCTTGGCCAGGGCTCGCGGGGCCTGGGGCAAATTGCCCCACTTGCGCCCACCCCCTACCCCTGGGCGGCCCTGGCTAAGAACTTCATTGAATGTAAGTCATGTAAAGGGAAGCAAAACGTGCGTGAAATAATGTCTCTAGTCACACCCCTCTGAGAGAGGGATTATTTTCTCCCTGATAGCTCTTGCTACTGCTGCTGCTCTTACCTGAGACTTCATCCTGCTCCCCAAGTGGGAGTCTTGCTCTGCCAAATTGATGGACCATTCTGGCCTTTACCCAGCAATTTCACTTAAGGGTATTGTCTGCCTTGCAATCCAAGGCGTGATTGTTGCTTGGATAGACACATGCGTGCCAGCTTTGGCCTGGCTAAAAATAGCATTGTAGATGTGGTAGCTTGGGCTTCAGTAACAAGAGTAGGTGCCCTGGGTCTCCAGGGTGCTTGTGCAGCCCATGCTAAGGCCCATGCCATCCTATCTACGTGACTATTTTTAGCCATGCTGTATGGATAAAACTAGCCTGGATATGGCTCCACGAGTTGCATTCATGCCTCAGATTGGAGACTTACCCAGAAAATGCATTGAACAAAATGTGCCATACTCTTTGCCAATGTCTAGGGCTTGCAGAGATCAGGGCTGAAATCCTGATCTCATTAAAGTAAATGATAAAACTTTCATTGACTTTAATGGAGCCATGTTTTGGGCAGAGTTTGCTGAAGAGGGGTTGGATTTTTATTGTCTTGAAAATTGGTATTAAATTCCAATTTAATTCCAATGCTATTGTTTATGTTAAGTAATGAGTGTACCTCCTAGGACAGACTCATGGGTGATAAAACACCAAACTACCCATTCAGCACCTTCAAAACACAGTGTTAATTGCCAGGATTTCAAGCTTTACTCAGCTAAATCTTAGGTTTCAGCAGCACTTCTGCTTCTGCTGCCCCCTTTTTGAGTGGGTAATTGTCTCTAAAGATCAAACTTTCAAAAGAGGGTGTAACTTACAGTCCCTCAACAATATAGGTACCCCTATTGCACTTACCAAACCCCACCTTTGTGCTAACACATGCTTGTACAAGAGAGTCATAGGTTATGCAGGTTGGACCGTATGCTTACAGTTACACTTCTGTACTCACACATGTGGGGTTTTATGGGTACATGAGGTATACACCCATTATCCCAACCACTGACAATTTAAATATTTTAATAGGCATTTTCCAAAAAGGACCTTTAAAACCCCCAGAGGAACTGGACTAGTTTTAAAGGCCTAATTACAGTTGAGAAGTTGGTGTGAAATCATTATAGATGGAGATGGTAGTGCACGTATAGTTAAGGTTCCCCAACATTTGCCATTAAAAGACCCTGTTTTCAGTTGTTAATATCTTTGCCAAACTTTAACTGTTCAGGCTGAAATTGTCCGTGCCAGGTGTCTGCCTCAGGGTGAGTTTTTTTGCTGTGTCACCAGGTGCAGTAAGTGAGAGCAGGAAGACTGTCTCTCTTGCCAGGGCAGCCTGACTAGCATGCAGAGGGGACAAGAGCCAAACCTGAAGGGTGGGGTGGTAGATTGGAAGATGGAGCCTGTGGGAGGGCAGCTCTGATGAGTAGACAGGGGCTGGCTAGCAAAGAGACCAAGAGCAGAAGCTGGTGGGGAAATGCGGGTGGATGAGGAACTGAAATCAGAGGAGAAGCCAGGATGGGGAGACTGGGAATAGCCAGGCAAGTAGAATTGGTCAAGGAGTCTGGGAGGGGGAACTGGGATGAGGAGCCCGAGGAGGGTGACTGGGACTGGAATGAGGAGCCCGAGGAGTGGGGGGACTGACTGGGACTACCTAGGTGACTGGGACAAGGAGCCAGAGATGGAAGGAGTAGACACATGACTGGGGCATGGGCAGAAGCAACCAAGCTTGAGGGAATAGGAACAGAAGAGTCTGTGATCCCTCCCCCCACCCCCTACAGCATAGTCTGCTCCAGAAACTAGAATGGAACCCAAGATTCCTGAGTCTCAACATTCCACTGCAGTCAGAAGATATCTGTGAAACTTACAGGGAAAACATGTCTCTCGTCTCCCTCTAGTGCTGGTCCACAAAGAGGATGACAACCTACTACTACTATCAATTTCTCTGTTAGCTCAAGTGGCAGAGGTCTGTGCTGTGCATCTAGAGGATCCAGCACCTATGATGAATCCTGTTGGTGAAAATATGGTTCCACATGATTAAATTTCTCAGGGGGTTTCAGAGTGGTTTTGTTTTGTTTTGTTTTTGTTATAATGCTAAAATTCAATTTAAAAAACTCAGCTAAAAGAAATGCATGGTTGCAAAGTTGAGCACTCAAAAGTTAGTGAATGCCAGAATTAAGGTTGCCTGCTGACCACAGTGGGAGGAACCTA